ATGTTATAAGAAATACTAGCCTATATTTCAATTTTATTTTTCCTCCTGTGTCTTTTTTATAACTTTGTTAATAAGAGTAGCAATATTTTGCTTTTTTCACATTTTTAGTTGTTGCATTATTGTTGTACATATTGATGGGATTCATTGCTACATATTCATACATACACATGATATAACAATACAATTTGGCCAATATCCCCAGCACTTCTCCCCTCCCTCTCTAGCTCAAATCCCTTGTTCCCTTTCATCTACTGATCTATCTTTGATTACCATGAGATCTGTCCCTACCTTTCTTTTCTTTTTCTTCTCTAGCTTCCACATATGAAAAACAAAAATACATCCCTTGACCTTTTGAGTTTGACTTATTTTGCTTAAAATAATGGTCTATATTTCCATCCATTTTCCTGCAAATGCCATAATTTTATTTTTTTATGGTTGAGTAAAACATCATTGTGTATATACACCACATTTTCTTTACCCATTCATCTGTTAATGGACACCTAGACTGATTCCATAATTTGGCTATTGTGAATTGTGCTAATATAAACATGGGTATGCATGTATCACTGTAGTTGATGACTTTAATTTTTTAGGATAAATACCAAGGAGTAGCATAAATGGGTCATATGGTTGTTCCATGCTAGTCTTTTGAGGAACCTCCATAATTATTTCCATAATGGTTGTACTAATTTACAATCCATCTAAGATTATACTAGTGTACCTTTCCGTCCCACATAATCTCCATCATTTATTATTATTTGTATCCTCGATGACTGCCATTCTGACTGGTGTGAGGTGAAATCTCAGTGCAGTTTGATTTGCATTTCTCTAATTGCCAATGATGTTGAAGATTTTTTCATATATTTGTTGGCCATTTAAATTTCTTCTTTTCAGAAGTGTCTATTAAATTCATTTGCCCATTTATTAATTGAGTTATTGATTTTTTGTTTAAAGTTGTTTGAATTATTTATATATTCTAGATATTAATCCTCTGTCAGAAGAGTAGCTAGCAAAGATTTTCTCTCATTCTGTAGTTCTCTTTTCACATTCCAAATTACTTCCTTTGCTGTGAAGAAGTTTTTTAATTTGATGCCATCCCATTTATTAACTCATGGCATTATTTCTTGAGCTTTAGGGGTTCAATTAAGTTGCATAGCTTTTGGTCTAATTCCTAGATCTTGGATCCACTTTGAGTTGATTTTTGTGCAGGGAGAGAGATGAGGATCTAGTTTCATTCTTCTACATGTGGATAATCAGTTTTCCCAGCACCATTTGTTAAAAAGGCTGTCTTTCTCCAATGTATGTTTTTGGTAACTTTGTCAAGGATCAGATGTAGATGTGTGGATTTGTCTCTGTGTCTTCTATTCTGTACCACTGGTCTTCATATCTGCTTTTATGCCAATATCATGCTGTTTTTGTTATTGTAGCTCTGTAGTATAATCTGAAGTTAAGTATTATGATGCCTTCAATGTTGCTTCTTTGGCTTAGAATTGCTTTGGCTATTTTGGGTCTTTTATTCTTCCAAATGAATTTTAGAACTGTTCTGTGAACAATGTCATTGGTATTGTAATGGGTTATGCTTTTTTTTTTTTTTAAAGAGAGAGTGAGAGAGGGGCTGGGGATGTGGCTCAAGTGGTAGCACACTCGCCTAGCATACATGAGGCACTGGGTTTGATTCCCAGCACCACATAAAAATAAAAATATAAAAAAAAAAAAAAAAAAAAAAAAGAATCCTCCCTCTCCACATAATAAGGAACTTTTAAAGTGAAAGGGAGGCTCTACATAACATATTCCTTCATGTATTTGCAAGGCTATATAATATTCATGTAAAAATACAAAATACATTCAGCAGTACTGAGTACTGCCTAAACAATAACTTGTTGTCTATCTTGTTATTGAAAAATCCCTTCCTTTCATGATGGTTAAACTGTGATTGATATACTTAAAATTTCCTAACAATTTTCTTTCAATTACATGGAGACTGAGAGTGCCTTTAAAAATCTAAATGATCTGATTAACTATATATAGATACTTACTTTTCAGACATAAATTTACTATATATATATTTTTACTTATCAGATAATAGTATAGCTGGAACCTCTATCCAAATTGGTATTTAGAAATAGTTTTATGATTTAAAATCATTGCACTGCAGTCATATCAAAATAATTAATTCTCATATTTTTATTGGTAAACTTTTTTTAATTACAAAAGAAAGCAATAATATTTTTGGGCATGTATATTTGGAACATGTCAGAACTCTGTAGAAGTGGAATTATTGAGTGAAAATATATGCACATAAGATAGATGCCAAGTGATAATGTAAAAGACTGCAGCAATTTATACTCCACAAGATATCCATATCATCAACAGCTATGGTATTATTTATTTTTACCTTGTATTAACTTATGTGTGAAAAATATTTCATTGCTATTTTAATTTTTCTGATTACCAGTGATATTTTTCTTGAAGGATAAAACTTCCTTCTCAGGATAAAAAAAAAATCTAAATGATCTGTAGAAACTAAAATGGTCAATATCATTTTCATAACTTACAGTCAATCAGATAAATTTTACCAGTAATGTATAGGAAGGAACTTTTAAATTTTCAACTTCTACAACCCAATAATATGGTACTTATCTCCCAAAGTTTTATTACTTATTTAGTCTGACCCTCATTTTATAAACTCAATGTAAATATTTCCTGGTTATTACAATTAAAAGCTCTCTAATTCTTTAAATAACTTCCTCCCATAGTATCTTAAGTCTTATGAAATAAGAATCACCATAAAGATAACTAATTTTAAGATAATCATAATTCATTTTATAATCCCCCATGTGTTATATAAATTAGAAAACCAGTTTCACATTATGTATTTTGTGTCCAATATTTTTCTTAAGGGAACAATGAAGAAAGTCTTTAAACTATCTGTGTTACCTCAACTATATTATGCATGTGAGGAAGCAGGCGATCCATTCGAACTTCAAGCAACATGACAAGAGCCCGGCACACATTTTTTCGTACCTCTGGTTCCTCATCACCAGCCAAAGCAAAGAGATTCTATTGCATGAGAAACACAATATTTTTTTCTAGTTAAAAACCTCAAACATATTAGAAATGTTTATGTATAATAAAAAGAAATCTGTAAGCTAGTGATCTTTAAAGAAAACAAGATATAATACCAAAAAAAAAAAAAAAGATTTAATTAAATGGCTTTCAGTATTAGAAAAGACAATTAAATGTATAACAACTGTCAAAGATTTTGATAACAGATGAAAAGCCATTCTCTTACAGTATAATCAGTTGTGTTTTGAGTTAATTTTTGTTTTTAAGAACAAAACAGTTTCATTAGAAGACAGGGCACCAGAAATAGAGGTTAACAACCTAACCCTACATTGCTGCTGCTCACAAAGTCAACTATTGGAAAAGAATTATAATAGCAATTACAGCAATCAATCTTAAAGCTATTTCTCACAAGTTCCTCTACGAGCTAAAAAAGAATGTATGAATGGAAAATAGATTATTTCATTTAATCTTTTTTTTTTTTTTTTGTAATCACACAAGAGTCTTTATTGCAAGCTTGAGCCTAGACTCACAACTGTTCCCGACACATCGGTCCCAGGGAGTGAGTCCCGGTCCTTTGTTCAGTGAGGTTTTATAGGTTTTGGGGGGGATACTATACTCTATGCATCACAACATCACACAGCAAATCTTTCCATACTGCGGGAAAAATCAAACAATAACTCTTTAACATTGATTAGCACATTCAATGGCGGGAACAAGTTGGGTAGGGGTGATTGGTTAGTAAAATAGGGGGATTCCTTTGAACTGATTGGTTTAGGCCACGAGGGGTGTACGTGCTAAACTACATGGTTTCCCAACATGTTATCAATGTTGAATTTTACAGATAAGGAACTAGAAATCAACAAAGGATAGGGAGGAGAACAATGATAGACATGCAAGCATCTGTAAGGAAATATAATTTAGAAGAAATTAAATGCTTTCTGTATTTATCTTTTATCTGGAGATAAAAGTTCTTCAGGATTACACTCAGTGGGGACAAGAATAATTCCTGACAATTTAAAATAGTTCACATTACAGTTAAATACCACAAGGTCAAAACTTTGCTACCTGAAAATCCTACAGTCAGTTTTCTTCTCTACAGAAGTCACAAACCTCTGGAGGAAATGCAGACATCCAGTAATCCCTCAGTAATGGTAGGCCTAGCCAGTGAGGAATCTGAATTTGGTTTGTTTGGATTCTTAAGTTCACTCTAACTTCACTATTAACAAACTTTCATTGAAAGAAGTTCTTTCTTGCAGAGGTTGCAAATGAGGATGTAAAAAAACAATGAAGCTTTCCTTAAGTCACTCAAGAAGTTTTATCTACACACACTGAAAGTAGTAAAAAAAACAATCATTCAAAAAAAAAAAAACACCACAAAATCCAATATGTCCCAATGTTTTTTTTTTCTTCAGAAAATCAGTCTCTAAAAAAATGAATCTGAAATTGTTTTTTCCAGTTTTTATTGGTACATTATAGATGTACACAATGGTGGGATTTGTTGTTATATATATTCATATATGCACACAAATTTAACAATATAATTTGGCCAGTATTACCTCCTATTATTTCCCCTTTCCTTTCCCTCATCCCTCCCTGGAACCTGAAACTTTATGACAAAAAAGACCAAGGAGAAATGCAATGATTAAATGTGACACTAGGTGAAGTACTGTTAAAGTAGCACTTTTTAAACTTTAATTTTTCCAAGTCCTGCTCCTATTTCTGACATCCAATTCAGTAGGTTTCTTTTAATCATAGATATTTTGTAGGGCCAGAGAAGAAAGCTCTTCCCAGAAGGTGTTACTTATATATTATACATGTACCCTTCGTTAAATTTTACTAAAACCATTTAATTCATTTTTTACCTCTTAGAGAATAATAACTGGGCTAGAGGGTGACAGTGTCATGTGTTCAATTAATCACCATGTACCCATTATTTTCATTACTACTATCACTGAATGAATACCCAGGTTTGCCAAGGTATATGTACTGGTAACAAATAGACTTCTCATTAACATTCTGTCAAACTTAGCAGACATAACATCAGCCCCTGAAGAAAACATTCATAATTAAAGAAAATGATTAGTCTATTAATCCATTTAGCAAATTATTACTGAAGGTCCACTATGTGCCAGTTATTTCCTTATAGGTCTATTATCATGTAGGATTAGCAAAGATACTTTACTATGGTACTTATCAGTAATGTAAAACATTATAAAATGCCAGCAGATTTTTAAAAAATATATTTATTTATTTTTAAGTTTTAGGTGGACACAGTATCTTTATTTTACATTTATGTGGTGCTGAGGATCAAACCCAGTGCTCGTGCATGCTAGGTGAGCACTCTACCACTAAGCCACAACCCAAGCCCAAGGAGATGTTCTTGACCCACTCACTGAGGATTTTTATCTCCAGAAGAGAGTTTCTTTTATTCTAAATTATATTTCCTTATAAGATACTGGTATATCTATAACTTTCTTTTATTAAGCTGTGAAAGAATGCTACTATGATTTCAAGAGAAACCTCTATTACCTCTAAATATAACAGCTAGCACAAGAAGCTTGTTTTGTGGTGAGCCCTGTTATATTTTATTTATAGCAACTAGCTTTATAATAAACACAATAAGGGAAGTCAATGTCAGTCCCTTTATAGATGATAAAATAGAAAAACATTAAATAAATAAAATACCCAAGGTCACATAACTACAAAGCTGAGGATAGAACCTAGGCAGACTTGTCCAAAACTTTAAAAAAATTAAAAAAAAAATATGTTATTTTGGGGGTACCAGGGATTGAACTCAGGGGCACTCAACCACTGAGCCACATCCCCAGCCCCATTTTGTATTTGATTTAGAGACAGGTCTCACCGAGTTGTAGCACCTTGCTTTTGCTGAGGCTGGCTTTGAACTCTCATCCTCTTGCCTCAGCCTCCCCAGCTGCTGGGATTACAGGTGCACAACACTACGCCTAGTTTATTTTATTTATTTTTATCTGATGCTGAGGATCAAACGCAGTGTCTCACACATGCTAGGCAAGCACTCTACCACTGAGATACAACTGCAGCCCCTTATCTAAGATTTTCTAACACTACCCAGTACATTGTATTATCTCCACTCAAAAGTGTACTAAAAACACCTTGCAGGCATACTAGGGGGCTCAGAAAGAGCCAGGGATGATGGTATATACCTGTAATCCCAACTACTTGGGAGACAAAGGCAGAAAGATTAATTGAGCCCAAGGACTTGAAGGCAACACAGTGAGACACAATATCAAAAACCTCAAACCAAACCAAAACAACAACAAACCCCAAAATCAAGTCAGATGTGGTAGCACACACCTGTAATCCCAGTGACTCTGGAAGCTAAAGCAGGAGGATCAAATTTGAGGCCAGCCTCAGCAATTTAGCAAGATCCTATCTCAAAGAATAAAAGGAACTGGGGATGCAACTTAGTGGTAAAGCACCCTGGGTTCAATTCCCTGTATCAAAAATAACTACAAAAAAATCCTCAGAAGGAGCCAATCCATTTAAAAATTAAGCAAAGAAAAAAATACCCCTATGATTCCTTTCCTCCTAGGATTTCAACAGCATGATCATGATTATCAGCAGCATGATCTCTAAAGGATTTTTAAGAACAGGTGAAAAGAAATGGACCATTTTATTAAATTTCATTCAATGAAAATAGAAGAGAATATGCCTAAGGAACCTTAATATCTTCAACTGTTCTCAAGCAGCAGACGTTTTGAAAAGTAAATGTACTGTTTCTGGTTCATGGCCAAAATACTATGCTTTTATCAAAAAATGTCTTTAGAGCTGTTTGCTAACAGTTCATTTTTTTCCCTTGACACCTCTAATTTTACAAAAAAAACATCAGAAATCCCTGCTTACCTATGGGGACACAACCTGAGAAATGCATCTTTGGGCAACTCCATCATTGCACGCATCACAGTCCATTCATACAAACCTAAATAGTATAGCCTACTACATACTGAGGTTTTAGGACAACATCATATGCTGCCCACTGTTCAATGGAAGGTAATTACTATGTCCTTTTAGTCCGTACCTCCAGATTCTTTATTGGGCACCTTTATCCAACCTTACCAGTTTTTCATGTTTCAAATACTGGGATAACTTCCATATACAATCTGAACAATATATTGATAGGAAAACTTTTAAAGTATCAAGATAAACAGACATTTACACCTTATAATAAATGTTTGTATTACAAGCAGAAAAATTTTTATTTTCAGCTCATAAAAATTAGAAAGTCTATACTGTATTCAATTTTAATACTACCAGAAATAATGTCAAATACTATTCACAATTATAAGTTATTTAAAAAAAAATACGTGCTGCTAGCATTATTTAACATTCTTGAAAACAAATGGGGCGGTGACAAATCTTACCTCAATAAAAGAATCAATGTGCAACATCAGAGCTTGAGTCCTACTAATGATAAACTGATTGACACATGCAACAGCATGAGACCTAGAAACAAAGTTTGAAGTTTAACATATGCTCAGTGTGGTTTTTCTGTCTACAAGACTGGCAAGATATTAAACATTCTTTCATAAAAATATTTTGGTACATGCATACCATATAGACAACCACTAAAATGAAAGAGTCAAATCTCTGTATCAATAAAGATTGTAAACAATATTAAGTGGAAGAAAATAAAAGTTACAAAGCAATATTAGCGTTTCTAAACAAATGAAAAAAGTCTGTAAGGACATTCAAATTTTTAATAGTGGATAGCATTAAAAAGTAGAGGATTAGGTGAAGGGAACAATTTATTTTATATGCTAAAGATTAATGTATGCATTCCTTTTGAAACAAAAATGTAGAACCGAGTAAGGCATACCCAATTCAATCCTTCAGCATCATCATTAAAAATACCCTTAATCCAATCACTTTTCCCTGCCTTTACTTCTTACCTAGTGCGCACCTTGATCTCTCCTCAGGGTTATTACATAGGTCCTAGTTGGTTTCCTAAATCCTAATGTGTCAAGCCCTATTATAACCTGCCTGACATAAATATTAAAAAAAAAAAAAAAAAAAGAAAGAAAAAAAAAACCCCACTTCTTCAGATTGCTACAATAAAACCTAATCTATTTTTCCTGCAAAAGGCTAATGTAATATTCTAAGCTTCATGGACCACATATAATTTTTACTATGCCTTCATTTTGTCCTCAAATATAGTCTTTTAAAACCATTCTTGGCGTATAGGCTATGGGCTGAAATTTCACTCCATGGGTAAGAACTAGCTAGTTAACCTTTACAATAAGGCTCCTTCTCCCCAGCCTCTATCTCTGGTTTCTATGGTGCTACAGTGAAGTTTTTTCTTTTACTATTCTAAAAGGCTTAATCCTAATTCCAGGGCCCTTTCACTTGCTGTCTCTGAAATGTTCTTCCCTTTGATCTTCCAAAGAATCTTTATTTTGTTCAGTCTCTGCACAAATGTTACCATTACAGGGAACCTCCTAGATAAAATATTTCTGTGAATCACTGTTTACCTCTGCTCTCATTTTTTTCCATTATATATATCACTACCTGAAATTATATTACTTATTGTCTGTCCTGTAGGCCCACTTTTTAAAATATAAAGCCTACAAGGACCTTTCTTTGTCTTAATTGCTGTGCCAAAAATCATTGGATTTTGACTCAGCAGTAATGGCAAGAACATCAAACATTTAAGGTATTAGGTTATAAGGAGATCTGAATCATTAAGTGTGTGGCACAAGGTAAACAGTTATGATTTAAAGTCTCATCTATAAAATATCATATTCATCCATTTATTATGGATTAAATTCAACAAGCAAATGTATGTTAAGTCATTGGCACAGTAAGTAAATGGGAAAAAATAATAAGAAAAGTGACTTTTTAAAGGGTTTTTAAACTGAACTTAAAAGTGTTTGTGTGCGTGCACATATTGGCAAAATTATTCTTCAAAGGCAACTATTACTACTGTTTCCAAAATAGTTTTTAGAAAATTAATAGCAGGATGTACGTTTTTTAAAAGTATTTTTTAAGTTGTAGATGGACACAATATCTTTTTTATGTGGTGCTGAGGATCGAACCCAGGGCCTCACACATGCGAGGCAAGCATTCTACCATTGAGCTATAATCCCAGCCCAGGATTTACATTTGCAAGTTCACAGTCGGACAAATAAACTCCTTTTACCTCATGATCATTTGTTGAAATAGCTTGCTTAATACACATGTTAGTTGTGAACATTGCCAATAAAGGAAAAAATTAGAAAATTTAACTTAGGAAAATTACCACTTATAATACTATTGAAGAAAATCAAGAGCCTAGGAATACATTTAATAAAATGTGAAAGACTGCTAAAAATATGAAAACTTTTATTGTAGACGTCTATTTTCCCCAAATTGATCTATAAATGCAACACAATTCCAATATATATTTCAAGTTTTTGTAAAATCTGTTAGTTCTAGGGTTTACATGGAAAAGGATCCTTACTATCCTGGTTGTAAACTCTTAAAACAAAAACTTCTTCATATTGATAATCTGATGATTAAGGAACAATAAAAAGAAAAAAAATGTTCCTGGCATGTATTCATATATTAGTCAATGTCTTAATGAGATCTGTCTGTTAACATGTAAATGGCATTATTTCCTAAAGAATAAAAATTTTCCCAATATAATCCTTTTCCTATAGACCATAGTATTTTTATATTGGAAAAAAAATCTCTTAGAAGCAGCTGAAGCATTTAATAAGCTCAGAGTAAATTCTGCAAAGTGGAGAATGTTTCAAATATTTTCATCTTGTAGTTTCTGCATATTTTAGATCAAATACTGTTTGGCCTATCTTCCAACATCAATTTTTGTTAGACATAACTCTTCAAATAAGTTGCTTATGATTATTTCCACTGCCCAATGCATGTTTTAAATCTGTAAACTTAGCACGGTGGTGCATGCTTATAATCCTAGCGGCTGGAGAGGCTGAAGCAGAAGGACTGTGAATTGAGCAACTCAGTAAGACTCTCTCTAAATTAAAAAAAAAAAAAAAAAAAAAGGGCTGGGGATGTGGCTCAGTGGTTAAGTACCCCAGAGTTCAATCCCTGGTACCCCCTGAAAAACAAAAAAAACTTGTAGGCTTTATTATTTTCATTCAATTCCAGGAGAGAATTTAAATTTACCTTATTATAAATAGTAGTATAGTACTATTGAACAGTTAGTCCAAATTAAGATATTCCAGAGCATGACTTAAAAAACTGAAAACTTATCTTGATGTAGTTTGAAGTCCCTTTGTTTAATCTGTTTACTTCTGAATACCAAAACATTCCAATATCTCTTTTTTTAAATAACTGCAATTGCTAAAAGCTCAAAAGCCCATTGCCCTAAAATAAGCTAGAATTGTTTGAGGCTATGTACATAAAATAGCAACAGAATACAATCGAGAAGCCATAAATTGACCATATACACATGGAATTTTGCATGATAAATGAGATTTTTAAATCAATAAGAAAAAATTATTTTTATGAATATACTTACAAAAATATTGTTATTTAAATAGAAAAGACAGAACACATTCCTATCTCATGAGCCAGGTGGCACAAACCTATATACTTCCAACTACATAGGAGGAGGCAGGAGGATCACTTGAGCCCAGCCTGAGCAATACTGAAAGAACCTGTCTCAAAAAAAGTATCCCCATAACATGCCTACAGATACCAGATATATTTATGTATTAAACATCAAAAAGCCTCACTTGAAAATTCCTGTGTCAAACGGAACAACAGAAAAAGGGAATGCATAGAGCCAATACATTAAGATATCCATCATTCCTTATTGACAGGAAAGTACACTAGCAATACAATGAGATATTTTATATATATTTGATTTGCAATATTTAAAGCATGACAATACCAAATGCGGACCACGTGTAGCCACAGAATCTTTTAAATCTTATTAACAGAGTATGAATTGGTACAACTTGTTCTGAAGTTTGATATTGGCAGCACTATTAATAGAAGCAAAAACCCAGATGTCACCCAAAGGCAGCCAGGGGAAAAGTGTACACCAAATTGTTTAATTGTCACGCAAGGCAAAATTACACAGTATTCAAAACAAATGGGCTACAGTGACATTATATGAATGCATCTTAGCAACATAATACTAAATAAAGTCAACAGAGATTACAATTAGTACAATGCCATTTTTATGATCCCATAAACAAACTGATACTCTATTTGTGTATAAATGTGATAAAATTATTTAGAAAGAAATGCAAGGGAAGGAGAGTTAAGATTTAAATGTAAAACTATACTCCATTTCCTCATTTTGTTTCCAAGTTCCCAACAATAATATGAGGGGACAACACTTTTAAAAGTACACAGTAAACACAAGTTAAACTTTTTAAGTTGTTAAATAATATGAATTATTGGAAACATTTATATAAAGATGAATATTAGTGCAGAGAAATTACAGAGCAGATATCCATATCCACCCAAATATACATCAAAAAGAAAAATTTTAACTAGATAAAACAGAATCTCAAGTATGTAATCATGAGTATTCACTAAACAGAAGTATTTTGTACTGCTGATCAAATGACCATCTACAAAATAAAACACTGAAATAATAATTATTAATATTTAATATCTAGCAATAGTGTATCAATTACCAGGAATATTTTATTGGATTTTTCTTAATTGCTGAGAATTACTCACAAAAAAGTTAATATTCCTAGAAGTGAAATATATAAATCACTCACTGCTTAAAATGTCAATGGAGGAGAATTTCTAGGGGACACAAACTTCTATTTAGTTAATTATGCCACAAAAATAACAGTTTGAAAATATACTCTTTTCAATATGTATTTTGATGCCATCACAATTATACATCTACTAACTAATTTCCAATCTGAGCATGACACAAGTACTACTTATGAAGAAGAGTATTTGAAATTACTAAGAAAAAGTATGAAAGATTGAGAAATAAACAGAATTTAAGATACATATTCTTATATACCCCTTGGTAACATTGCTGATACCACAATCCTTTGAATACAGTTTGGAATTTTGAAGCCCAACTAACAGTTACAATCTATGGAATACGGTCATGCTCTTGGACTCCTGAATAAGTGCCTCTAGGCAATGATTTTCATTTAAATAATAATATGACATTTGATTATTTTATATAAAACCATGAAGCACCAACAAATGTAGCAAAAACCAAAGTAACCAATAGTTAAAGAAGGAGCAATGTTTTTCATAGAAAAAAGTTAGGGGGAAAAAAAAAATCACAACTGGATCTCACACACACACACACACACACACACACACACACACACACACAGAAGCCAACTGGTACAGCAGCTGCGGGAACACTTGAAGAAGTTATGGAACCTCATGCACTTCTAACAATTAAAACAAAGACATCATATTTATAGCTTGTTAGGAACTGATGAACAAACTTAATAGGTTAGTTTACATATTCTAATATAAGTTTGGCAACTGTATGTGAGGCACTGTTGTAGAAATTAGGGATACAGAGATGATCAAGGTAGACCAGGTTAATTTCAGGATTAGCCAAGAAAACCTACTATATGATTCCAGAGACGATCAAGGCAGACCAGGTTAATTTCAGGATTAGCCAAGAAAACCTACTATATGATTTCAGGGTGTAATAAAATATTCTGCTACCTTTGAACTTAAAATGCTCACTACCCCCCATAATTTAGATGTAAAACTCTTCAACTAAAAGTATGTATTTTCATTAAAATTACATCAGTTTAGTTATCAGAGGATGAAGAAAAGCAGAGAATAGGCCAGTCACTGAACCTGCAAACAGTGGTAGAAGGGGAAAGACGACAACATTTGTTGAAAGGCTCGAAGAGCTCACAGTATTATATCAAATAATGTTGCCTGACTTTAAGTAACAAGAATATGTAGATGTTATTCTGAGGGAATTTCTATTTGAAATGAAGGCATTTGAACTTGGCAAGAATGATAAAAAAATCCCAAAGCCCCTCAACTAAATCTGTCTTATAAGAACTTGTAAGACGGTGGCTGGTAAATACTGGGAATGTAATTAACTATGTGAATGTAATTAACTATATTTAATGAAAATTTCATCATTAAGAGTCAACATTTTATGGGATTTGTTATTAAAGTAGTAAATTTCAACTTATTGAAGTCTACCTTTGTGGAATATCCAGTATTCTCTGTTTTTTTTTTCCCCTCAGTTCTGGGGACTGAATCCAGGCAACAACCCCAGCCCCTTTTGATTTTGAGACAGGGTATTGCCAAGTAGCTGAAGCTGGTTTTGATTACGTGATCCTTCTGCCTCAGTCCCCTAAGTCTCTGGGATTACAGATGTGCACCATTATATCTGGCCCATTATCTTTTGCTAATCACAAAAATACAAAGTAGGGCAGAAGTAAGGCTTATATCAGAGTTTATAAATTAATATTGGTCATATAAATACCTTATTTTGGGGCTACTGTGTTTGAAGAACTGTAAAAATTTGGGAATCATGATGTTGAGAGGGCGATCTAAAACATCACTATCTAAAATCTCAGCAGAATCTTCACATATCTTCTGAAGGGCACCAAATGCTCCCTGTAAAAGATACATACTTTAAATTATTGGAATTCATTCAAAACAAAGGCATTTAAAAGCAAAAAGAGGAATATTGCTTAATTTTATGCATCAATGTTCTCAGCCCACATAAAATGCTGCCTTCTAAAATCTCTATATTATTCAATTTTGAAATAAATTATACCATTGAAATCTACATTTTCATAGAGGTATATATGTAACCAGTAACTTCCCTTTAGGAAGAACATAAAAAAGTCAATACTACTTAAAATTTACTTATAGATAAATCATTTTTTGATTAAATGGTGACACAATCATTTAAGGAACAGACAATTCACATCAGCAACTATTTCCCTATAATCATTTTATTCCAAAGTGGATAATCCAAAATTCTTAATTTTACCATAGCAACTTTGTGTTTATTCTCCATAGTACAGTTAACTAAAAATTGCCTTTTTTAGTCTTTAAGGCAATTACCAAACATCCTTTTAGAGTTTATAATGCATCAAAAAGAAACTTGGGAATATAAGTTTACAATTTAATTAAAAAATATAAAATTTCAGCCTTAGATTTAACACATTAAATATAACCTTGTTACTTACTAAGGCAACAACAAAAACAAAACAAAAAAAGCCAAGTTTCAACTAAGAACAAACAATTTAGCAATCATTTCATACCTACAACTAAAAAGTCCACATCTTTAGTTCAGACAGATGACAAAAATATTTACCTAAAATACAATTTTTATGTAGCTGCTACACAATTCACAACCAGGACAAATTTTTTATTCTTGGAAAATGCTTAAAATTTTCATCTGTTTACCATCACAAAGTAATATTTAAATAGAATCAACTGTTATATGGTGACTAAATATTATTTACTTTTTCTGTAATTTTCTAAGTGTATTTTTAAGGAATATGTGTATGTGCGCGCACGTCTCTGTGAATTGAAAAAAAAAAATGGGGGAGGGGAGGATACCGAGGCATCCCAATACTTTGCCATCACTCCCTTCCCCCTACCTTTTCTTTCCTATTTCCTCTTCCCTAAGACAAGGTTAGGCAACATACTAAATCTCATAAAATTATCTGATTCTTTATTGTTAGGTTATTCTTATGCTTCTCTGCTTTTAAACCTTGCTACTGTTTGAAAAGGAAGGAGTTACTGCATTAGAAATTGTAAACACTTAAAATGGTTTCACTTAAAATAGACTTCTGCTCAAAGTGGAAGCCTGCTATTGAAACAGATACTTTAGAATTCCTTTCTTACCAAATGAAAAGGTTGCCATTGACTTAATCAATGCCCCCCCCCCCCAAAACGCCCAAGATCAGAATTACAGTATGATTAAAACTAAACCAAATGGGACATACTGCAAATTCATCATTTATTAAACATAAAAATGGTTCTGAGAAACTAAGAAAGTACTTATGGTCTCAGAATTTGGTAAGTTTCGGTCTATCTTTAGATATGAACATAGCACTTCAACTGACTAAGTCTGGTAATAACTTTATTACATATATATAACTCCCAAGAATAATTTTACAATAGAAAAACAAGATATTTTCTTATAGGAAACACAGTAAATTATAAGAAGCAAATATTCTTACCTCACAAGTGTTGTAATCTTCAGAATCCAATAGGCTACAGAGTTTTGGTAAGAGGTCAGGCCAGTTCTGCAATTCTCCCTTGGAAGCGATGGTTGTAATCAATATACCTTGAAAGAAAATACATATTTTTAAGAAAGCTGAGTGCATTGTGTTAAATAGCACCATGCCAGTAACACATTTTTAAATGTCCCATATTTCCAAACCATGTAAATAGCATTCATCAATCCCCACATCACCAAAAGCTACCTATAGAAAAAAAAAAAACCACAGCATAAATCAGATATTTCTAATCTTGTTTCCCAGCAATTCACCCTCTAAGTTGTTGCTTTTAAAAATATTTACTAAGTATCTCTATGAAAGACTTGCTTCTCTTCAATAATGCCAAGATAGCGCCACTAATTAATGAACTCCAATTTCACAAAAATTATATATAAAAGAATAGAAAGAAAATAGACCAAAATATTATTACTAGCACTTATTACTAGGTGATAGTTCATAAAGTTCAAATAAAAAATATCTGAAGAAGCTAAGAATAGCTCCCTGACAATATGGAATCCAAGTTAAGGACCATAGTAGGGAAAAGGAAAGTAGTGGATCATCGATTGAGAATAATTCTGCATGTTAATGCAATCTGCAACATTCCCCCTCATGTAGATAGGTTATATACTCCTGCAACAGTTCCCACTTACTGGATCAAAGATGAATCGCCAGAAAGGCGATCTTCGATCTTGGAGGTTGGGTGGCACATGCTGACTGATCATGTCGTTTTGACTGACTGGAGTATTTCAACTGTGTTGTGCAGCTGCGTTGTGATAGTGGATTATGCAAACACACAAAAATGTAACACAAAAGTTTTGTGTTAACATTTTTATCTGCCTTAGTAAATATATCATTAGTAATATGTAATATGCTCAGTGATTATGGGTCTTTTAGTACCACTAAAAGTATAAACTCTGACAGTAGGCAAATTTTAAGTACTTTAAGCTGCAAAAACTAGTTTGTTAAAATGAAAAAAAGAAAAAGTACTCCTTTCCCAGACTTATCTTAAAAATTTAATGAAATACATAGAAAATGCCTGGCTTCTAGTAAATAATTATTACTGAATAGCAAATCTCACTGTGTGGATAAACTTTAATTTTCCACCTTTAGCTTTCAGATGGTTGTTTCAACAACATAACAACTAAAAAATAAAGCTTAAATAAAGCTGTTGGCAAATGTTCACTGTTCAAGGAAAAAATTTAAATAGTAAGGATTAATGTATTAATTACATTAAAAAAATTTTTTTTAGTTGTAGATGGACATAATACCTTTGTTTATTTATTTTTACGTGGTTCTAGAACCCAGTGCTTCACACATGCTAGGCAAGCGCTCTACCACTGAGCCACAATCCTGGCCCCTGATTAGAGTTTTAAGACATAAAGCTCAAATGAGCTCTCCACTAAGATTCAAAACTAACAAGACCCAATCCTTCTTGCAAACTTTCTTTCCTGAAGTTACAACATAAAAGAACTGAGAAAAGGATCTGGATCTGCCTTAATAGAAACTAAGCATGTCTAAAAGACTGAAAATAATAATTAATAGAAATCAGACATAATCTACAATTTGGTACTAATGGACTGACATTTATTACTCCTGCTAGTAAAGCACTAAAGGATGTTGACTGAAAAATTCCAAGATCTGCCCCTTAATCACATCCACTCTTGAAAAATCTAATGAAAAGTCTGTCTTTAGAATAAGGGAGAAAAATCGGCCATACTTATTAAGATCTTAAATGTTTAAATAACACTTTGACCCCAAAATGCCACTTTACAAATTAATCCTGTAGAAACTTTCCAAAAGAGTATAAGCATACATAAAAGGAAATTCCTTGAAATAATAAAAATTATAAATCATGTATTTTTTAGACAACTTTATATTCATGCAATGAATTACTTCAGTTAGTAAACTGTGATCCCTTACAAATATATTTCCTTAATAAGATTCTCGATATGTATTATAAAGATTAAAAAAAAAAATTTAAAGTCGGGAATGGTGGTGCACACCTGTAATCCTAATTACTCAGAAGGCTTGGCTAAGCCATGGAGTTGAAGGCCAGCCTGGACAAGATAGCAAAATCTTGTCTCAAAGAAAAAAAATTAAAAGCCAAGGAGGCAAATTTATTGCTTTATAATCAGAAATCTTTTACTTAAAATATTTACTAAATTCTTAATATGGTACAATCATTTTATTAGGTGTTAAGGAAAACATAACTCAAAACCCTACATGGTCCTTATCCTTATGGAGTTCAGTCACATTTGCACATTTGGCACTATCTGTGGGCACTTTTGGTTGGCGCAACAGAGGGTGTGGCTGTCACTGGTATCCAATGGGTACAAATGAGAGACGCTAATTACCATCCTATAATGCACAGAATAGCCCACCACAAAGAATTATCTAGTCTAAAATGTCAAGTGCCGAGATTGTAAAACCCTGGTCTAGACAAACAGAATTCTACTTAAATCAATAATGTATCATGCTTATGTTATTATACCCATCTCAAGAATTTTCTATTAAGGTTGATAAGTGAAGTTCTCAATTTTCTTAGAGATACCTTTCAAAAACCTACAAAAAATATTTTTACTTATTTTCTTAAGAGAATTAAGATTAACTAATTTAAAAGATAAAATTTCCAGATTTATTGGTGGGAAAGCACCAATAATTTATAATAATAACAAGCTCATCGATTTTCCTAAAGGAGAAAAGAAAAACAAAAACAAAAACCTGGCTTTACTTTATCAAAAATAAAAAAGAACTGATGATTCCAAGGTGATGCTTTGGATGAGACAAAAACCAAACACCAAACAGAACAATCTTTAGAATCTTAATGCTGTGCACTCCTCCTCTAATAATTACTCCTCTAGGAAATTCTGTATATCAATTTCACCACCACCTTTTCTAACCTGCATTAAAACGGGCCACGGGAAAGAAGAAAAGTCATTTATTTTTAATTTAACAACATAAAACAGATAATTTAATTGGCTAAGCCATTTATTTCAAGTGATAAGCTTTGTTTTATCCAATTAATATTACAGACATTTTTGAAAATAGAAAACCTCAATATACAAATTGAGCATCCTTTAATCTGAAAATTCATACTTAAAACTTTTTGAATGCTGACAAAAATTCAGATTTTGAGCTGGCTGCAGTGGTGTATGACTGTAATCCCAGTGACTCAGGAGGTTGAGGCAAGAGGATTGATTATAAATTTGAGGCCAGTCTCTGCAACTTAGTTAGACCATGTCTTAAAAATATAAATAAATAAATAGCCAGCTAGCTAGCTAGAAAAAAGTAGCTTAGTTGTAAAGCACCCCGGGTTCAATCCTCAGTACCAAAACAAAAACAAAACAAAAAATGATTCAGATTTTGTAGCAGTTCAAATTTTAGATAACAGATGTTCAACTAATAAAGTATATGCAAATATTCCAAAATCCAAAAATGTTTGAAATCTGAAAACACTTCTAATTCTAAGCATTTTGGATAAGGGATGTTCAACCTGTACATAATATTGAAAAACAAAATAATTAAATGTATCCACTACCCATCTTCAACAATAGTCATTAATATACACTCAATCACTGTTTCATCTATACCTCTATCCACACCTTCCACCTTCACAATCCAAACTGTTTCTTATCAAATTCCATTAAGTGTCTTTTGGGATATATTGCAATTATGTCTGAAGTTTATTCACTCATTTTTAGTGAAGCAGAGTAAAACAAATTACTAAATTAAAACTCTACCTCATTGGTTTCTATATTGAAAACTGAGATGTGGTCTCTCACAATTAGGATATTTATATACATAACATAAATCAGAACCAAAACACCAAAGATCTTTCATATTCTACAAATACCAAGAAATAAAAATTACATCTATGTATGTCAATTTCATTTGTTTCAAAATAAGATGTCAGAAGACACTTTCAAGTATTTAATTCTGGGCTAGGGATGTAGTTCAATGGTAGTGTGTGTGTTTAATATGCACAATACTGTAGGCTTGATTCCCAGTATAAGAAAAAACCATTTCTAATATAAACCCAGTTGCAAACATACTCGAAAACTCTTATGGAAGGTTAAAAAAAAAAAAAAATTCCAGCATTCCCTGGAATATCAATTTTCCTCTCCCCAATACTATTACTTCCAACCGTTCAAATTTAAGGCACAAAGCACTGTAGTTTGGACAAAATGATAAGTTTATAATGAAATACAATTTAGGAAAAACTATTTTGTATTTAATTTCTATATCTTGCCCTCCCTCTCCTTTCCTCTCAGAATTGCCTTCTAAGGAAATCTACTTCTTTTAAAATCGCATTTGACCACATCTATGAAGATTTCTCTCCCTGATTTTATATAGAAAAGGCTAGCAGACTATCATTCTTTACTTCTCTACCAAGAAGTAAAGCCTTGAGAAAGATATAGGGGGATATGTTAAAGTTACCTAGGAAGTCCTTTTCCTCAAACTACAATTATCTTCTACCGATCAAATTTGAAGCCAATGTTAACAATGGCACTCTTTTTAATACGAGACTGTCCGGAGGGGAAATCAAAGAATCTCTGCTTTTTATTTAGATTTAGCTAGATACTTAAATATTCTTTATTCACCTTTTATTTAATTTTTTTTGGTGGTGTTGGGAATTGAAACCATGGCCTTATGCATGCAAAGCAATCATTCTCCCAAATGAATCTCTGCTTTTTAAGAGACAAACAATACATTTCAAACCTGAAAGACCATAATATACAAAACTAAATAAACTCAGTGAGTTTAACTGACTTCTATTTGACCAACATGCTAGATTAACGGCAATTTACTAGGTCCTTGTAAAATACAGCTGCTTAAACCCATGGCACACTGAACACTGCCTATTAGTAGGCTGCTCTGGAGTACTTCCTATTTCTACTGCTACCCATTGATGTGTGTTCTTGCTAATAGCCAGTTTTGTGTTCCCAAACTGGTTTACAGCAGTTATTGTAATTAAACATTTAATACATGAACCAATAGAAGGTATGCTTTAAGAATACACTCAGAAAAGACTAAAAATTGCCAATGAATTATGTACAGACGAGACAAATATTAGAAAGTGGAAAAAAATAGTAAACATGTAGAATTCTATACTTAGATTGTTTTTATAGGAGGGTTTTCTTGGCATGAAAAAGCATTACACAACATAGAAAATAAGAAACTCCAACTTGCAGAGTCAAAGAAAAGGCCTAAATATCACTTGTTGATGCTCTACTTGAACTAACATTGAGTAAGCAACTACCAATGACTTTGGTCTCAGTGGTAAAAGAGCTTTTAATGTAACAGTTAACATTATTTCAAAAGCACTTAAATGGTAATAAAAACATCTCCATCATAATTTAACATGAAATGAACAAAGAAAATTCCGATGAAAATGATTTGTTACCTCTGAAAATTATCTAATTGGGATTAGTCAACTTTTTGTAATGTAGCTTACCTACAGTGGCTCTGATCAGAGGAGAGGCGTCACCAATATTATTTAAACATTCACTTTTAATAAAGTCTGTCACACCATTTGGGAAGTTCTGAAAATGTGCTTTCACGTTATTCTTCAAAATGAGGCCACTCAATGATCTTGTGGGTTCATCTGTAATAAAAAATAGCATTGAGTTTTAAAGTAGTTTTCATCTCAAAACATGCCAGGAACAACTTCAAAATCATTTCTTATTTAATGGTTGATTGCAACATTCCAATTTATTTTGCTATAACCAGTTTTTAAAAAAATCAATTATAAAAAAATAGCTCTATAATATAGTTTAAGATTTCTTGACCCTGGCACTACTGACATTTAAAGGATAATTCTTTGTTGTGGGGCACTACTCTGTACATTGTTAAGACAATTAGATGCATCACTGGCCATACAAAAGTATTTCTAGGTAATGTCAGATGTCTCCTAGGGAGGCCAAATTGCTCCTTTTTGAGAACCACTAATATGGTTTAAGAGTTAGTTTATATATGGCCACTGTACTAAAGCTTTGTTATCTGATATAATCATCATCATAGATCTCAAAGTATTAAGTCACTAAAAATATCCAATTAAAAATTAAACAGACATCAAATATAATACATGGGGTTACTTTCACATAATAATTGCCATAATTTATGTTTTTCACTTGCCTGTGAACCTTATTTCTAAATGCTTATTATGTACTAAACACTGCTAAATGCTTTTCAAGTATTCTGCATTTAATTCTTAAAACTGTGAGACAAATATTATTAACCCCTCTGTATAAGGAAAAAAACAGGCCTGGCCAAAGTTACACAAGGCCAACTTCCTCAACATGTGAGGAAACCAAATTATCAACCTCAGTAGTTTGGCTCCAGAGCATACACTCTGAATCACTCTACAGTATTACCTTCTTCTGAAAGGGCTGAAAGAGCAGGTGTAAAAGCCAGCATGTTGAACAGATTGCTATTAATACTACTGCTTCAGCCATCTTCATATGTTAAGTAAATACCTTATGTTAAGTAAATACTTATTATGCTCCCCAACTGACTGCCATTGAAATCTTCAAGTATAAAGCACATATAGAGGCAAAGAGAGTAAAGTTTCTCTGCATATAAACCGTATTTGGGTCATCACAGCAATATAATCTAAGAGCTCTATTTCATCTAAAAATTTCTTTCCATTCACAACTCATTTCAGCAAATATCTTAAAAGGAAAACACTTCTAAACTCTTTAAGTTTAAAACAGCTGTGAAATAAATAGAACAGATATTTAACTTCCTCAAGCGATAAGCTTCTTATTACTATATTAGCAAAATAATTTAGCCATGTAATTAAATGGCATGCATATTTGTTTACAAGAGGTACACATCACTTTTATAAGTCACAAGTTGAAGAGTTAATAACACAAAGTGAAACAATTTAACATTAAAAGTATATAGCTTCTGTCCAAATGTTTAAAAAAGCCAACTTCTTTTAAAATTAAGATTGTACTTCACAGTCCCTCAATTTGCTCATCTGTAAAGTGAGTTCATCTCAGATCTCCAGATCTAGAATTCCTTCTCCATGATTCAGCAATAAATTTACTAAATAAGCATTTTCATTTAAAGATATTACTTATATATTCCTTCTGTAATGTGAATGGACACAATGCTAACATTATTACTAATTCTTTTTAAAGGAAAATTAGATACGTTAAACCTATGTTCTAATCTTCTGGGGGAAAAAAATTGACAGGCCCATACCAAGTGTTACACTACTGCGGGGAACAATCTTTATATTGAGAAAAAATGGGGTTGAATGTTGTTCAGCAGTAGAGTACTTGCCTGGTATGTATGAGGTCCCAGGTTCGACCCCTGATACAGCCAAAATAAATAAACAATGTATCATAAACATACCATCAAACTAGAACATTTACTGCTAATTAAGATATGTTGAGAGAATTCCTAGTTTTTCAAAAGCTAGATTTAGAGTTTTAAATTCCCTACTATGTTTTTCAATCACAAAACCCACAAAATTAACCAGCAAATCATCTGAAAATGATTCAAAAGAAATCACTGTAATGAATATGAATTATCAAAATCTAAATACAACCTGCTAGAGTTTGGAGCTGAAATCTCGTCTAACAGGCATTTTATAGCTGAAAGAAGCAAGTGGAGGTTAAATGGTGTCAGAGTCTAAATAAAACTTGTTATTTCACAACTCCAAGTGCAGTGTTTTTACTATGGCTTCTAAAACACTAATCATTCAATAGGGACAGTATTTTCATTAAAGGCCAGTCAGTTATCAATACTGAGTATCTTCTATGGTCTAACAATATTCCAGGAAGGGAATACTCAGTACTCAAACTGCCTGACAGAGGTGCTCAATAAATATTCATGAAATAAAGTTCACAGGACTATATTACCTGTATTAGAAATAAGCAAATGACTGTCACATTAAAAAAAAAAAAAAATCAAAGTTGTTGGTCTTTAAACTGTTAAGAATTTAAAACTGTAAATTAATGAAAAAGTTTCATGTATATTATTAAAAAGTTTTTTAAAAGTTACAAATTTATTTATAAAGAGAAGGATATCATTTTTATAAAATGTTTCCCTATGGGACTGAGGATTAAGTCAGGACCTCATGCATGCTAGTCCAGTGTTTTACCATTGAGCTGCATCCCCAACCCTTTTCAAAACTTTATTTTTAAGACAGGGTCTCAATAAGTTGCTCAGGCTGGCTTTGAATTTGAGATTCTCTTGCTTTAGCCTCTTAGGTAACTGGGATTATAGGCATTCACCATTGTACCTGGTTGTTTGTTTTTTGATTAAATAACTTAAAAAATAAAATATAGTTATTTTAAAAAGAGTGTAGACATACACAACTAAAGAGATCATCAATAATTACCTGATAAATAATTTACTTTGGCTACATAACTTTAATTTTTTCTTATAATGAACACGAATTCAGTTAATTAAATCTCGACTTCAATCTGTATACTGAAACAAATCAATCTTTATTATATTTCTGTATATGGAATGAAGCAAAACACCCAAGGTAGACTTGTAACATATTCTTCATTTGCAAAGAATGAATTTATTATATAAATACCCACGAACAACTGAATGTTTATTAAACATTTTAAAGCTTAAAGGGTAGTAACTCTAAGACTCTACATATCACATGTATATTAAGCATGTGGTTAATACAAAATGAAATTATTTGAAATAAACAATTCCCAGAATGTCTTCACAGTGTCTTGGAGACACTTTCAAGTAGTTATCAACACAAACCCTACTTACCTTCAGATTTTAATTTTGTAAGAACAAAAATCAGGTAGTTGTTAAAATCTGGATATTGATTGAGTTGTTCCAGTTTCTAGAACAAATAGTAGTTAAGGAAACTTCTTTGTGTAATCCAAGGAAGAAATTAAGCATTTTAAAATCTAATAATTAAGAGTATTTTCTGTGATATTTTTTGTTTTCCACTTTTTACTGAGATTAAGGTATCTTGTTAAATCTAATTATTGATAGTGTAGTTCAAAAGCACACTAGTGTTGGTAAAATCCTTAGGTGCTTTTACACCTAAAATTAGATCAATTATATTCAACACAACATATGTTCCTGCTTCAGCATGCTCAATATGGCAAAACTATTTTTCAAAATAAAATTCTTAAAGATTTAACAATTTTAAAACATTAAGGCCAAAGGATGTGGATATAGCTCAGTTGACTGTTTGCCTAGCATGCATGAAGCCCTGGGTTTAATCCCCAACATCAGAGAATGAAGGGGGGGGGGCCCTACCGAAGAAGTTATTTCAGTATAAAATACAAAAAAAAGAAAAACATTTCATAAAAATGAGAACAAGTTTTTTTTAAAGGTGAAGAGCATTTAGGGAAATTAACTTAATAAAACAGGCTTTTAATGGAAGGGGGGATATTTAAGAAAAAAATGCCATTTATGCCTAAACCTATACACCAAACCTAAACCCTATAAAAAGTCAGCAATATAGAATAGTTCTATAACCCCTTTCCCCAAAGATCTAACATGTCTGGTGACACAAATTTGCAGGTATTTTACCAAGGCTGGCAGATATGTGGCATAATGCTCTAAATTTTTTTCTTCAAGCCCTGACTCTCAACCCTTAATACATTGGTCAACTATTTTACTACACAGAAAGATGAAAATATTTTTTACTGAATGGACTTAAATCTGATTAAATTCCTGATACAAATGTGAGGTATATCACATTTGCGTTTACTCTCAAAATGGATAAAAGACTGAATATAAATTCTAATCAAACACAGTCTCCAGTAAAATTCTGAGGTATAATTACTTTCTCCAAGAAAAACCTAGACAACGATTACTTGTTTTGGTGAATGGTCAAGATTAACAGTGTACTGATATAATAAATTTTCTATATTTCCCGATAAGGCTTACTTTCTTACAACTTGAAGCTATACTTATTTATGCTACTGTAACAGTCTTTCAAAAAGGGCTCAAGCCTATACAAAACAATAATTAAATACATTATATCCTTAGGAGACACAAAAGAACAGAGTTCATTATTAGCACTGTGAAAATATAAAGCAGAGCATATTATTTTTAATTAAAATACTGTTTTCCTTTCTCAAGAACAACAATTTACTTTGCTCTTACTCAGGATATATAGGTGTTTTTTTTTTTTCCATGTACACAATAAACTATAAAATGACTACTAGAACCGACCAAGCACAGTACTGGGATGTATAAAAGGTACTTAATGAACATAGTAAAACAAGAAATTACAATGCAATTCTGACTAACTTAAGAATCTTAATAATTGTGGCAAACAATACCTACAATTAATTAAATGTCAACTTCTATCAGTCACAGAGCTTTGACAACATAAGACCGAGCCATAACAGAGTTCTGATAAAAGTTCCAATATATCCCGAACTACTGTTCTTTCTTTAGTACCAGCAGTATCAAAACAGAAAAGTGTAAAAAAAAAAAAAAAAATTCAAGCAGATCTAAATTATTATCCCCTCCATTTTTAAAAGGACAGTGTTACATTAATCAAGAAGCTGAGTATACTTAATTCATTTATTGGAGGCTTTAGGTTACAGCAATGCAGTACTTCTTTGAAACTGTGATAAATAAAACCTTAACTTTAGTGTCTTCAATTTAAACAAACTCAAATATGAAAGAGCTTACCAAATTCCAGATTAAGTAATTTGCTGCTTAATGACAATAAAAATAACAGACGTAAGATTTTTAAAGAATTAACTTCTTTGGGCTTAACAGGCCACGGGTAAAAAGGTTACTCATGATCTGGTTAAGTGAATTTGTTTCTTTTACTGGACCCAGTAAGGGCTTCTGCGCAGTTTATGGCACCTCAGAAGTTATCATACACAGCGGTTGTTTTGCCGCTTCTTTTCCACCTTTGCTGATTCTAAAACTGTAGCAACAGGACCGCTACAACAGCACACTCCATAACCAATTAGGTAATTGCACCGACAGGTTGGGCCAAAGCTTTAAAAATAAAATCTCAATGAGAGGTAGGGAGCTCGCAACAGGTGTTAACACAAGCAGCCCGGAATGAGACCCCAGCAGAGACCCCTTTCTCCCACCTGCAGCTCTTCATACCCTTCAGGGAAAGGGCCCTGGAGAAAACCCTAAGCCCAACCCCGTAGCAGTTCAAACCCCGCGCCAGCTCCACCCATCCCTAGCCGGCCAGCGGTCGTGCAGCTCCGCTCTCGCAAGCTCCCTCCACCGGGCCTCGCGCGCTGGCGCTGCCGCCCCCACCCCGCGGGGCGCA